TTGGAAATTGCTTTACAGCCTCTAATTTCTTTGGATCGGGTTTAACTCCATCTTTACTGATTACGTGCCCTAAATAAGTAACTTCGGTTTTCAAAAACTCACATTTGTCAGGTTGTAATTTTAAATCAGCCTTGCGCAACCGTTCTATTAACAAATTATACTTCCTTTCGTGTTCGTCTAGTGAGGCGGCGTAAATAACAATATCATCCATATAAACAAATAGCTCTTCTCCCTGTAATCCGGTTAATACCAAATCCATTAACCGCTGGAAGGTAGCGGATCGTTTTTTAATCCAAAGGGCATCCGGTCAAATTCGTAGTGACCGAATGGAGTTGTGAATGCTGTTTTATGGCTATCTGCAGGATCCATTTTGATTTGATGAAATCCAGAGGCTAAGTCGCATACTGAAAAGTACTGCGCTCCGCCTAATTGATCTAAAATATCGACGATGTTAGGAAGCGGGTAGGCATCGCCAATAGTCTTATCATTCAAAGCCCGGAAGTCCAAGACCATTCTCCATCGTTTGTTTCCTTTTGAGTCTTCCTTTTTTGGCACAATCCAGATAGGTGTATTGTATGGTAACTGAGAGGGTTTTACGATGCCTCCCTCTAACAGTTCTTCTACCTGTCTATTTATTTCTTCCTTATGAATTTGTGGGAATCTACAGCCATTGACAAAATTATTAGGCACCTTATTTATTTAACAATTTCTTCAATTTATAAGGAAATAAATAACACTATCTTTATAAATGTTATCATTTATTTCTTAAATAATCATATAAACTAATATTTGCTTGGTCCGCCATTATTTTTTATGACTTCTGCTATTCTTTTAGGTAAGCTATGTACTAATCTTTCGCATATAGTAGGTGATATTTTCTCCCATTCTTCGAAAATCGCTTTCTTGAGCTCAGTAATTGAAGTGCACTTGCGAGCGCGGACATGTTTCTTCAAATGAGCCCATAGATGCTCAATTGGATTGAGATCTGGACTCTGTGGTGGCCATTCAAACAGCTTAATCTTATTTCGCTTAAACCACGCAATGCTCTTACATGCAGTATGACAGGGAAATGCACACTAAACAGTTTTGTACATATTATCATTTCTCTAAGGAACTTATATGCCTCAGTTGCTTGACCTTCTCACAAAGTCAGTAGCATGAAAACAACACGCAAATAGAGAGCTTATGCACATTCAGTTGTGAAAAATTTAGAAAAAGCAAGGGTGCCTAATAATTTTGTCAATGGCTGTATATTGTCGAGTATTTATAGGTCGATCATCCGTTGTAGGTATTTGATGTTGTAATATATTTGTTGCAGTCAACTTCTCTCGTCTCTCCAGGGATGTGAAATCTGTCCTGGCTGTTGGTTATAAGTTTCATTATATTTGCTTCCTCCTGGAAACTTAAGTGCTCTAACCGCAGTAATTCTGTAATTTCCGTAAGTTTATTCTTTGCAGCTTCTTCTGATACTACTAAGCATGGAATATTTTTCGCAGTTTCGTTTCGAGGTTCCTGGTTGATTCCCTTTTTATGGTTTGACTTGCGTTTGCGCATAAATTTTTCTATCATTTCTTGAGATTGATTTTGTGTAGACGCTAGGATTTTAGAAGATGGTTTGTTTCTTTTGAAATTACGGACATTTATGTAAGGATTATGTGATTGTATTCTTTCTAGAAGTTCATCGATAGTAACGTAAAAGGAATTATTTTGATGAATATCATTTTTTGCAGGTATTCCAACCCTTGGTAATTTAACTTCTTCAAGAGAGGAGCTCTTTTCTTTTGACTCCTTTTGATAAAATTGAGTCGTGTTGCACAGTGAGGTTTGGTTACTTCCCTCCTTGCAACCGATAGGAGTAGAATTTACCAGGGAGATACGGAAACTTTCTTCTAGAATTCTAGGATTATTTGAATTTTCAGGAGAGGTTTGGTAACTTCCCTGTCCAAAGATTTTGGAATTATTAAAATTTTCAGGAGAGGTTTGGTAACTTCCCTCTCCAAGGATTTTGGAATTATTTGAATTTTCAGGAGAGGTTTGGTAACTTCCCTCTCCAAGGATTTTGGAACCTAGGATTTCGGAGGGGACGTGGAAATCCTCCTCTCGATGAATATTTGGAGTAGAATCTTTATTTGATTCTTTAATTCCCCTTATTAATTTATTCTCATTTTTTTCTTTAAATATTTCATTTTTTCCTTTTATTTTTTCGTCATTCTTCCTTTCTATCTAGTGACTTCGTCAATCATAATTCCTTCGTTATTATCGTCGTTACTAACGTCTTCGAGATTTTGAATATCCTTTGGGTGGGTATGACAATTTTGCGTATTTACTATTACTTTTTGATTAATTTGCATTTCGACGCTTGAGCTATCATTGTCGAATAATTCATTTAGAGGTTTAAGGCGCAGGGTTGGTACTTGCACTTCAGCTTCTTCGTCCAATGTACTTATGACGTTTAAATATGCTTTTCCTACTATAGTAGAGACATTTTCTACTATAGTATCTCCCAGATAAATTCCGCGTGCTATTTTTAATTTCGGTACATATCCTATTTTTATCTCTGGATTTTCTATTCTCACATAAAACAAAGATTCTGATCGTGGTGGTGCGATGATGGTTTCTGGTGAAAAGAAAAGTATATTAATCCCTGATATATCTAAATATCCTTTCGCGTAATCTATTTTCGAGGAAGTCTGTTGGAAAAAATCGTTACCTAATATGCCGGATTGCGAGATTGGAAAATTGTTTGACACGAGGTGAAAGGTTACCGCTTGATTGAAAAGGGATACGGTTATTTCTCCGAGAGTATAAACAGGATGTTCGTTTATCCCATTCAATTTTAAAATATTACTATAATTGATGGTCTTGTTTTCAGGAGCAAATTTTTCTTTAATTATATTGGGTCCAGAACCCGTGTCTAACATTAATGTTATTGGCGGAATTAGATCACAATTGTTTATCTGAACGGTAGGTGCGTGGGTATTTTTATCGAAATTTACTGTCACCTGTCGTACGCCTAACACATTTTCCCCTATTTGGTTTCCTGTGAAGTCGTCGGGTGTAAAGCTCGTTCGGATCCCTGTTGTACACCCGATTTCGAGGGGCCTTGAGAGTTTCCCCGATTATCGTTTTTCCTACGGTTATTACTGGCAATGCGCAATTCACACGATTCAATCAAGTGGCCCGGTTCCTTGCAATAACGACAGAAGATGTTATCTTTAATATTTTGTTGTCGACTTATTTTTAAGCGACAATCCTTGGCAATGTGTCCAAAGTTATTGCATACTTGACAGATGGTTTTTGATTTACTATCTTGACCACGTTCAGCGTTTTGTCTCTTCCAACAATTACTAGCAAGGTGGCCGCTTTTATCGCACCACTGACAGTTAACTGGGCCTTTATTCGCGAGAAAATTGACGTTATTGTTTGAGCGACACGTTTTAGCAATATGTCCAGATTTTGAACATAATTGACAAATTTCGACGTTTGCTTGTAATACATTTATGGGTCGAGAGGATCGAGGATCGCGAAATCGACATCTATCGGCACCGTGACCCCGTTTCCGACAAATTTGACATATCAAAATTTCTATTCCTAAATCGGGCTTTGATTGGGAATTTAGTGTTAGTTTCCTACAATTGGTAGCTACATGACCTTCCTTGTGACATATCTGACAATTTTCCTTTAAGGTATTAGTAGAACTGCACAGTTTATGATCTAACCCTTCTCTTTGTCCCTGTCGCAAATCTGTCATTTCCTGTAACTCTCTTACTATCCTTAGCGCGTCAGCTACAGTCTCTTGTACGCCTAGATTTCTAGCTATTCTCTGCTCTATCTCGGATTTTAGCCCTCTTATAAAACATTTGCACATGTCCTTTTCAAGTGAAGCTTTAATGATGGGGCTTGCTATGTCGGTTCCAGGACTTCTACATGTTTCTAATATTTGTTTTCCCAGGATTTTTACTCTATTCGCGTATGTAATTACATCTTCGTTATTTCTTTGGTAAATACTCCCTAATTTCCCCTGCAACTGATATACATTTTTAGCAGGCCCATAGATTTGTTTTAAGTACTGTGTTAATTCGTTTACGCTATTAAAGTTCCTATCTAGTATGGTGCGACGCGCCTCCCCTACTATCCTGGTTCTTATAATTTTCGTAAACTGCGACTCTGCCTCTGCGGGCAGCATACATCTTGCCTCTTCGCATCCTTCGACAAAATAAGTTAATGGTATGTTCTGACTGTCAAAGAAAGGGACGGCTTCGACGGCATATTTCAAAGTGCCATACAAATTACCGTTTCCCGTTGGCCCATTGGGACCCTCAGTTTTGGGGGTAGCCATAATACTAAGCGATGGTTGTATCGTCTCATCGAGGTCGTAGGAAGAGCCGAGATCGAACACAAGGGGTTTCGAAAAATTCGTTGAAATATCTTCTGTAATTTCTAACTTGTTAAAATCGAGATTAGACTCCCCAACAGTAGATTGAGAGGGTTTGGCAAGAGTGGAAGTGTATATCGTGTCTTGTGTGTTTGATTCAGGTTCATTTGAGTCACCGAAAGCAGTTTTATAAAGATTTTCTACTGTAGATTCATCGGTTGTAGCATCCGAGTTCATTACCTCAACCAAAGATCGTACTTTTCATCCCGAACGAGCCCCCAATTTCAAGGTTCTGTTACGTCCAGGCCCCAAAAGTATTTTTGTCTTAATAACGAAAGAAGGAATTAGGAGGGGGCCAGGGTAGGGCGCAACTTGTACCGCCTTTTGTGGCTTATCGCTCCGTGGACGCGTGCCACAACTCGGAAGCACTTGTGCGAGTCTTTGGTGCGGGTAAACGCAAATACGAAGCGCTGTTACGCCGCCCAGGACAGTGCCACCGTTGGTTCTTATTTTTGGTCAAGGAACTTAATCCTTATAACCAGGGATAGGACCCGTACGATCTTCGAGGTGAAGGAATGAGTCGGAAGGGTTAGAGAATGAAGGGTGACTCAATTTAAATTACAACTAATATTTAATATGACTTAACAATTTATGGATTACAATATTTTATACATTTCCTAAATTATAAATTGCATTGTATTATCCTTTTTATCTATTAGCATAGTTAATTGACAACGGAGATTACGTGAATATGTATATGTTTTACTATACGGTTGTATGTGTGTGTGTGTGTATGGTTGTGATTATGGGGAGGGAGAAGAGGGCCTGTTAATTTCGATATAGTATTCCAATGATTTCAAGATTTCGTCGTAGTCCGTGTCGTC